AAAAAAAAAAAAAAAAATTGTTTCAACTTGTTAGTTAATTATGTTTAATGGTTAGCAAGTCATATTCGTACTTTTAAATTGAAATGTCATAATTTTCGGGTCGTCACTTCCCTCATTTCACGCTGCGGAAGACTGCCTCTTTTACAAGCAACTATCACATCTAAAGACCAAATCGAATAAAAATTGGAAAAATGGACAAATCTGCTACAGTAAACCCTTCCGATTCCGACCACCCTTTTGCCCCCGCGCTTGACCATCCCGGTGGGTCAGAGACAGCCAACATTGTCAATAATCCGGCCTCATTTCCAGATCCCAAGTCTATTGGCCGCGCTGGTCAATACTCTGAAAAGCCCCTTTCTGCAACGGGCGATGAGGAGTTCCCGACATTGAGCAAGGCGTCACTTCCCCCGTTAAGTAATGGCCGATACTCGAAACGACGGCGGCCGTTGGACCCAGGCATCTCGTCAGAAGGAGCGGCTGCCCGAGAAGAGAGACATTTGGCGGAGACAAGAAACCCGGAGTCTGGCCTACGAGCAAGATCCGAAATTCCTCATGTACGCTGGAGCTTCAGGGACATGGTGAGCAAAAACCGGCCACATATTTTAATGGATGACAGTGATGATGATGAGGAGGCTCTTGACGAGGATATACAGGTAGATTTTACGGAGCCTGTTCCGGATGTCCAAATTGCATATCGATTTTATGAGATGCGGGCCAAGGAGTGGAAGAATGTTGTTGTTGTTAAGCCATTGGACACTTCCTTGTCCCATGCCGCGCTCTACAACCGTTTAACGAAGATGTGGCCTCACATGGTGGGCTGTAATATGATGGACCTGGAGAATGGCTTCTACTTGATCCATTTTGGAACACAGGAAGACGCAGTTCGAACGCTGGTTGGGGGGCCCTATGTGGTGGGGAATGGTTATCTTCACGTTCAGCCTTGGTCGCTCGACTTCGACGAGAACAAGACTCAGATATCCAAGGTGGTGGCTTGGATTCGCCTCCCGGGGATGCCGGCTCACCTGTACCACAAGCGTGTGTTTCGCCAGATTGGACTAATTGTTGGTAAAGTGGTTAAAATAGATTATCAGACAGCTTCTCTCACGCGAGGCAAGTTCGCACGGTTGGCTGTTCTGGTTGACCTCTCGAGGCCTCTGTGCGTTCAGTTCACGATCTCCGGCAAGGCACAAAGAGTGGAGTACGAAAATATGCCGCTAATCTGTTTTGATTGTGGGAGATACGGCCATGTTTCTGGTCTGTGCCCTGACAGGGACGAGAGTCATGGTGATACATCCAACGAGGAAGGGGCCATGCCAAAGATCGACCACACTGCGCCCAACTGGGTCTCTTCAGTGGAGGAGCGACGAGGTCCCGGGAGGGAGGAAGGACAAAGAGGGTTGTATGGACCTTGGATGCAGGTACCGCAACGGCCGAGGAAGCAAACTGGGAGGCTGGAGAAAGGATTGACTGAGGGGAATGGGCAGAATGCATCAAAACCCAGCGGAAATCATTTCGATATGCTTCAAACGTTGGCTGAATTGGCGCAAGAGTTCAATATGGGGGCATCTGGAGAGGCAAGCAAGCCTTCGTCCTCGGCAGGCCATTCAGGAGTGGGACCAAAAGAGTGGCGTCGGGCGGGTAAGACAAGGAAAAACTCGGGTATCCGGGAGGACAATGGGTGTAACCACAATCACATGGAGGAGAACAATGATGGGTCGCGCGGAAAAGGCTCAGTTGCTGCTGGATTGGTTGGTAGAAAGTCCCAAGAGCAGGGTGGTCTACAGCACGGATATTCATTGGTGAATTCTGTTCTTCCCGAACAACTTGAGACCAACGTGAACGGCGCGATTATTACGGTAGGATCTGGGTTAGACCCTCTCAAGCATCGTGCAGTGAAGATCCCTGATGACCACTCGATGGATTTAAGCCAAGAAGGGGAGGTGGGGTTGAATCCAAGTCTGGAAGCAATGTTGGAGGACCAAATGGCGAACCCTATTGAAAGACCGAATCCTTGGCCGGAGGAATTGACCACACAGGTGTTGGAGGCCCATCCACAGGACGCTATGGAACAGGACGATAGAACCAGTATGGCTCTTGCGGATCTTTCCTAGTTCCTCCAAACACTACAGATTATTTTTTTAATGAAGCTCATGTCATGGAATGTTCAAGGGGCGACATCCGACTCTTTTAGACGAGCCTTCCTTTCTCTTGTCCAACAGCATAAACCGGACGTGGCGGCAGTTTTAGAACCCCGTATTAGCGGTGCAGGTGCCGACGAGTTTGTTCGCCGGAGTCGGTTTGATTACTCCTTCCGTGTTGAAGCTGTGGGTTTTTCTGGAGGCATTTGGCTACTATGGAATGAAGGTCTAGATGTTAATATTATTCGATGTGGGCGGCAATTCATTCATACTAGACTTTCATCAGGCTCGGTGACTTGCTATGCCACTTTTGTATATGCTTCCCCGACTCCGTCCCGTCGGCATCAACTTTGGTCGGATTTGGAGAGTATTGCGCGATCGACTCATGGCCCGTGGGTTATTGGAGGCGATTTCAACTGTCTACTGAGAAACTCTGAGAAGTCAGGCGGATCCCAATTAAGGTGTAACGTTAGTAATGAATTTCGAGATTGGGTTTATGATAACCAACTTTGCGAACTTAATGCTATGGATGAACGGTTTACGTGGTTTCGGGGAAACGTGGCGGATAAATTAGACAGATTCATTGTTAACATAGCTTGGATGGACAAATATTTAGGTGGTCGCTCCATTTACTTGCCTAGAATCAAGTCGGATCACTCGCCCATTCTCCTTTGCTTTGGCCAAAACCAATCAAACCCGGGGAGGGATAAGCCATTTCGATTTGTGGCAGCTTGGTTAATTCACAAGGACTTTCCTCGTTTTTTAGGGGACACGTGGAGACCCGAAGAATCGTTTGAGGAGGCGGCCACTTATTTCCCTAAGGCGGCTAAGGAGTGGAACAACAATACGTTTGGCAACATTTTTCATCGCAAGAAGAGACTTATGGCCCGGATTGCAGGGATCCAAAAAATTCCTATATCTGGTTATCACTCGGGCCTGTCGTCGCTGGAAATCACTTTACAAAAGGAGCTAGAGGCGGTCTTGCTGCAAGAGGAGATTTTGCTGCTCCAAAAATCAAGTCGGGACTGGCATTTATTTGGCGACAAGAATTCTACTTATTTCCATCGTCAGGTGCGAGCCCAACGAGCTCATAATCGTATCCATTCGCTAGTAGATGCAGCTGGGATCTTGATTGAGAATCAAGATGAGATTCGCCATATGGCTACATCGTTTTTTCAGGCCATCTTTGCGGCAGAATTGGGTCCCCACCCGGCCCGGATTGTTACTAATTTTTTTCCTCCTCTAGCACAATCCCGTGTGGCTGCCATGGCAAGAGACATTGATGAAATCGAGATTGGCATTGCTCTGAAGCACATGAGTCCTCTGAAAGCCCCATGTAGCGATGGACTCCATGCGATTTTCTTCCAACAAAACTGGAAGGTTGTGGGACCATCGGTGTTTGATCTTTTCCACCGAATTTGGGCAGGTGACCCTATGCCCCCGACACTGAACAAAACACACCTTGTTCTCATTCCGAAGGTGGCTAACCCGTCCTCAATCAAACAATTTCGCCCGATAAGCCTACTCAACGTGGCTTATAAGCTTTTCACAAAGGTCCTGGTTAATAGGATGAAAGAGGTTTTACCAAATATCATTCACCCAGCGCAAACCTCGTTCGTCCCGGGACGCCACATCACTGACAACATTATCGTGGCTCAAGAGCTCATTCATTCGATGCGAGCGAAACGGACAGGTACGGGTCATATGGTCATTAAGGTTGATCTCGAAAAGGCGTATGACTTCTTACGGTGGGATTTTATTCTCGAGACCCTGATGCTGGTTGGATTCCCAAGTAACCTGGTGCAGGCTATCATGTCGTGTGTGTCATCGGGGTCGATGAATTTACTGTGGAATGGGGAGGTTGGTGAGGGGTTCTCGCCCACGCGAGGGATTAGACAAGGCGACCCCCTATCTCCATATTTATTTGTGCTATGCATGGAACGTTTTGCGCAACAAATCGAGTTCTCGATTTCGAGGGATAAATGGAAGCCGATTACACTAGGCCGGGGGGCTGTATCTATTCCGTTCCTCATGTTTGCGGATGACCTATTGCTTTTTCTTGAGGCCTCCTTGTCCCAGGCCGAGATTCTTTCCCAGGCTTTGGAGGATTTCTGTTCAGCTTCGGGCTTGAAGGTTAGTGCGGCTAAGACTCAGATCTTTTTCTCTACATCAGTGGACGAGGATAGAGGCCGCGCCATTGCAGGTAAGCTAGGTTATTTAAAGGTGGAGGACCTGGGAAAGTACCTGGGAATGCCTTTGATCCACAAGAGAGTGACTAAACATACATACGCGGGTATATTGGAGAAAGCTGAGAGCCGACTTGCAGGATGGAAGACCACGTCACTGTCGGCGGCTGGAAGACTTACACTAACACAGTCGGTGTTATGCTCGCTCCCTTATTACGCCATGCAAACAGTGGCATTGCCATATGCCGTGTGCGACAAGCTGGACAAGTATTGTCGGTCCTTCGTG